GGAACAAGAACAAGGAAGATCACTCATCTGTTGGTATGTTTCTTGACCTCCAACCTTGATCACTGTCATGCCATCTGTAACATATGTCACAAAAGCATAAGCAGAAATAGAGACTTTCTTGCCTAGGAACATTCTCCTTTATTCTACGTAGGAGTGTGTCCTCTCATAGCACTTCTGGAATTCGATCTTCAGTCATAGACTTCTTCATGACAGGAATGCTGAGGTCAACTTCTAAAATCAGAACCACCACTCCAAAAACAGCTAACCTCACCTTCATTCCAATCACTGACTCTCAGCAATAAATCCAATAGCATTTTCTTGTCAGAACCACCCTTTCAGCTAATCTTTGAGAAGAAGAGCTATCTAGTTGGGCCACTATCACCTACACTGAAACAAATGGGAACTGAGAATTTAAGAATATTCATGAATTAGAATTCAGTCCACAGGTACATTTCCTCATAGTATAGCCTAAAATATACGGAATAACAATGATGTTTTCCTTCTTTCTTTACAGGCCTTATGGCCTAGGAGATGCTATCTTTCCATATAACTCTGGATAAATCCACTAGCTAACATTGGATATGCTCAGTTTTTTTCATTTTTACCATTGTTTTAAACTGTACTTTAGATGAAGGTTTACAGAACAAACTAGCTTCTCATTAAACAGTTTATTGTTTTATGACATTGGTTAACAATCCCATGATATGTCAACACTGTCCCTTCTCCACCTTGGGTTCCCTATTACCAGCTTTCCTGTCCCCTCCTGCCTTCTAGTCCTTGTCCCTGGACTGCTGTGCCTCATTAGTCCCGTTTTGTTTTATGGGACTGTCTAATCTTTGGGTGAATGGTAAACCTCAGGAATGACTTCATTACTGAGCTAAAAGGGTCTCTGGGGGCCATACTTTTGGGGTTTCTCCAGTCTCTGTCACGCCAGTAAGTCTAGTGTTTTTTTGTGAGTCAGAATTTTGTTGTATATTTTTATCCAGCTCTGTCCGGGACCCTCTATTGTGATCCCGGCCAGAGCAGTCAGTGGTGGTAGCCGAACACTATCTAGTTGTACTGGACTCAGTCTGGTGGAGGCCATGATAGTTGTGGTCCATTAGTCCTTTGGACTAATCTTTTCCTTGTATCTTGTTTTCTTCATTTTCCCTTGCTCCCGAAGGGGTGAGATCAGTAGAGTATCTTAGATGTTTGCTCACAGGCTTTTAAGACCCCAGATGCTACTCACTCAGGTAGAATGTAGAACACTTCCTTTATAAACTGTGTCATGCCAATTGAGCTAGATGTTCACCAAGACCATGGTCCCCACGGCCCTCCACCCAGCAATTTGGTCCCTCAGGGAGTTTGGATGTTCTATGGAGCTTCCATGACCCTTCCTTGTACAAGTTGTGCTGGCTTCCCCAGTATTGTGTACTGTCTTACTCTTCCCCCAAGTTACCACTTATCTATTGTTTATTTAGTTTTTCTTTATTTTCTTGAATAAATAAAATAAACCAATGATCATGAAATAAAACAGACACACACACACACAAAACACAAACAAACAAAAAAATTAAAAGAAAACAATTCTCTAGTGGTAAACAATTTTAAATATTGTATTATTATAGGGATGCCTCACATAAGGCATAAAAATCACCTTGGTGTCTAGACCTATATACTGCTTTGGAGTTTGATAATCTGTTAGGGGTTGAGGTAGAGGGCCCTGAGGATATTATGCATAAGTTAAGCACACATCTATAGACAATAATAAAAACAACTATACGAAGTAACAGAAAATTTACTGGTCTAAACTTGATGAATGCCTGTCCATACCCATGTGGACCAATGACCTTCTAGTAAATTCAACTTTGTACATAAAAGGAATGAACTTTTATCATTCAGAAAGTCACAGAACATTGCCTTTCTATGGTAAAGGTACTGCCTTTATGGGTGGGAGAAAGGATATGTTTTATCAAATGTCATGTTATTATCCTAAATATTTAATGTTTCAAAAATAATATTTAAATGTGGACAGTAAAATATAGCACTTTGACTCTAATGGAAACACTACAATGTGTTTTTAGCAAAGAACAATGTTGTATGAGCACTAAAGCAAATCTAGAAATCATATATAACAAATCATGGGTGTGAGACAACACTAAACTCCAGCTAGAGGATTCAAGTTCATAGGAAGGCCTAGCTTGGCCTTTGGCAAAACTTTGGGAGAATGAATAAATAAAATAATTAATAAAAATGAAATCATAAATTATATGTATGCAGTTTTAATGATTTCTCACTTAAATCGATTAGATAAATTGCAAAATTACTGGTTCTAAAATAGGATAAGAGGATTTCAGTGGCAGTTTAAGAGTTTCTAAAATAATATATGTAATTTAAAGTTCACTTCAATTTTTTCTCTTGAACAGTCCATGAAATGAGTTCAAATTACATCCATTATTTTATTTAAACTTATGAACTTAGAGAAGGCCGCATAGGTTTCCAAGTGAAAGTATATAATTTCACCACAATGTACTTCATTGAAATTTTCTTTAATGTCATCCTCATTTGTAACATTTGCTGATTTCCATGGTGTAAATCTAAAGAAGAGTATACAATTTTATTTATATAATTTTCAAGTATCTTTGTCAAACAATAACAGGAAAAGTTAGTGCTGCAATTTTTATTTTAAAAGAAAAATAGCATATTCAGTTTCCTTCTGGAGAATACTATGTGAAAATGAACATATTGCCCCCATCCTTAAAAGCGGGCCTCAATTCATGTAGCTTAACTAGAAGACAACACCAAAAGAGTAGCATTGGGTATGACAGGATTATAGCCATAGGAAACTCATACAGATCTACTCATAATTGTTATTTCTTGATCTATAAGTCTTTTTCTTCATTTAGCTATCTGGCTAGCTGTCTTAACTTTCCCCCTTTTATAAACACCATTAGTATATTTTTAATAAGATGCTTTCAGTTATGTAGTTAGTGGTGTGATAGTGAACCAGCATTCTGAAAACAACCAAGCAACTAAACAAAACAGACCTGATTTGTAGTATTTGCCTATTTCCATGGTGTAAATAGGCCTACCACGGATGACTCAAGCTATCAATGTGAAGTCACGGAATGTGGACTGGGGAAGAGAAGCACACAGGATACCAAAGTGAGTTGGAGAGAGTTGGTTCCAGCATACCACTGTGGAGAATAAATGCTGCCTCAAGTTTGTGCTCATTCTAATAGCCTTTCAAAATACTCAGGGACTTTTTGGTAGGTCCCAATAATTTAATTAAAAAAAATGATGACAAGTCATTTTAGCATAATTAACATTTTAAGTGACAACAGGCAGAATTTTATTGAACTATGAAATGACAGAAAGAAAAATTTTCAAAATAAATATTTATTTTAGGATAAAAATTAGAAAGATAGGCTGCAGGTACTTTATGATAAACCATGACCATTATAAACAATATCATCAAAATCTTGGAAACTGCATTTATGTTAGAGAGTTTGCAGAATGTGAATAACCATATTATCTTATTGGCAATTGAAAATTAGCAGTACATATTATGAGAGTCTAGCTGGAATATTTTCTGAAAGAATATGATGAAGTGCCTATTTTATGGCCCGTTAGCTTGCTGTATCTGTAAAGTTCATGATTACATGAAAATTCTTTTGCTGTTATAAGGTAAGTAGTGTCTAAAAGTTGAGGAAGAACATTCCACAACTAAGGCTCTTGACGTGACTAAAACTTTTGGCTAAGGTCTAGGCCAAATCCCTTCTTGTTCTCAGTGACTGTATTTTATATTTTTAAATGGAGCCTGTCATCTCTGTAAAATTTTCCACTGTACCTTTGACCTAGAAACATATAATTCTACAGAAAAATGCGGCTTGCGTATCCTGCTCTGCTTAAGGACAAAACTGTGGTTAGAAATGGCCATTGTTAAGAAGAGATTATAGAGCTTGCGCACGTACTAGACATGGTGTTAAACATGTGATTATAGTTGCTGAGCCAAATTACCCTCAGATGTCCCTAAAAAATGTTTTTCTGACCCCCTTTACAATACTCTGTACTTAAAGATAACTATATTTTAAACTGTTCCAGGAAATTTGTGGTCAGCCAAATCCTGTCATCTGGAGCCACCCTTGAAAAGGAGGTCAACCCCTGCAAGGGTGGTAAACTAAGACCTTGCCACCTGCAACTTTGTAAATGTTAACCAATCAGAAGTACTCCAGCTATACCCCTCTTCAGGTTTTTGCCTTTATTAGCCTCTCTAACACTGTAACCCCCCCAGGGCACTTTGTTGGATTTCTCCCGGCACTGTTTCCCGTTTTGTAAAATGTTCTTTTGCCATAATAAAACTTTTTCCTTTTAATTTTAAACAGACTTGAAGTTCTTTCTCTACAACGAAGTAGACAAGTAACGTTTAGCACAGGGTTGACAAACTTTTTCCATAAAGGGCCAAAAAGTAAATATTTTAGGCATTGCTGACCATACAGTTTATTTTGTGAACTAAACTCTGCTCTTGTAGTGGATAAGCAGCCATTTTCAATACTGAGTGTGGCTATGTTTCAATAAAACACAGGTAGTGGCCATGTTTGGTCTGCAGGCCGTCCATAGTTTGCCGATCTTAGTATGTACTAAACCATCTTCTGATATTTTTGTGGCTCTGATTTCAATATAGTTTTTCTTAGTATCTATCAAACACTAATGACCAGATAACCAAAATTTTTTTTTAAAAAATTGCCCCAATCAGAAAAAATTCTTGAATAATTAATGTTTTTTAAACAAGATTGTTCCATAGCTAACCAGCTGTCAAAAAGGACGATGCAATTGATAATAAAGTGAATATAATAGTGTACATATCTTCTTTTATATTACTATATCAAAATTTCACAACCAATCCTAAGGAGAGAGGTTTATTCTAAACAGTAAAGGAAGAGATAATTTGCATATTAAATTAAAATATATTTAATATGAGTACATTCATTTTAATTTACTCTTAAATACCTTTTTCTTACCTTCCACAAGCTTCCCTGTCTGTTCTGCAATCCCCCCAGGAAGAATCTTGGCAATATAGGCTCCAATTTCTCCGCTATGTCCAGGAATTTCCTTACCACCTACAATTCTAATTCCTAATCCATTTCCTGTATTAAAACAAAAATTGCATATTAGTAGTAGTAATCTAACACAGGGCAACAGTTATCACAAGTTAGAAGGTACCCTGAAAGTAAATATAATATGGATCTCGAACTGGATATCAATAAGAAGAGTATATTATTCTGATTTCAGTAATAGTTAATATGTTATAGGAATTCCTGAGATCTTGGTAGGATCTGCAAGGATTAACTACATTAACAAATTAATTTTGAATAACATTTTCAGCCACATACTAAGGCCTTGTCAACTTTTAACCAGATATTTTATGAAAATGTCTGAGGATGTTCCTTGTCTAAGAAACTCCAGAGCAAACAATTCACTTACAAAACTGAGAAAAGCTTTATCTTACAGAAACGCAGTAATAGCTACCATAATTGAGAAGATACAACCCAAATATGCAAATGATCACAATCAATAAAGTATAAACACAATCATAACTTATAATTATTATTGACTTTACAGTCTTACTTATTAACTAAGTTAATGAACATGGCACTTACTACAAAGTACAATCAAATTATTCTTGAATGATAACGAAGTTTCTCAATTGTTCCTTTCTCCACAGAACAGGTTTTTCTGTAATCAGCTAAATGAAATATAGATTGAGAATGACAAACCTACTTGAGATCAATACAAATTAATGGTATTTAAGTTTGTATTTTTTTAAATTGTTGTTAGGTGCCATGGAGTTGGTTCCGATTCATAGGGACCCTATATACAACAGTACAAAACGTTGCCCAGTCATAGGCCATCCTCACAATCATTGTTATGTTTGACCCATTGTTGAAGCCACTGTGTCAATCCATCTCATTGAGGGTCTTCCTCTTTTTCACTGTCCTTCTACTTCACCAAGCTTGATGTCCTTCTCCAGGGGCTAGTTCCTCCTGGTAACTTGTACAAGGAGCCTGAGACAAAGTCTCACCATCCTCGCTTCTAAGGAGCACTCTGGCTGTACTTCTTTCAAGACAGATTTGTTCATTCTTATGGCAGTCCATGGTATATTCAATATCCTTTGACAACACCATGATTCAAATGCATCAATTCTTCTTCAGTCTTCCTTATTCATTGTCCAGCTTTCACATGCATATGAGGCAATTGGAAAGACCATAGCTTGGGACAGGCACACCTTAGTCCTCAAAGTGACATCTTTGCTTTTTAACACTTGAAAGAGGTCTTTTGCAGCAGATTTGCCCAATGCCATGCGTCGTTTGATTTCTTGACTACTGCTTCCACGGGCATTGATTGTGGATCCAAGTAAAATGAAATCCTTGACAACTTCATTCTTTTCTCCATTTATCATGATCTTGCTTATTGGTCCAGTTGTGAGGAGTTTTGTTTTATGTTGCCTTGTGGTTGATACTGAAGGCTGTACTTTGATGTTCATCAGTAAGTGCTTCAAGTCCTCTTCACTTTCAGCAAGCAAAGTTGTGTCATCTGCATATTGCAGGTTGTTAACGTGTCTTCCTCCAATCCTGATGCCACATTCTTCTTTGTAGAGTGCAGCTTCTCAGATTATTTGCCCAGTATACAGACTAAATAAGTATGGTGAAACAACACAACCCTGATGTACACCTTTTTTGATCTTAAACCACACAGTACCCCTGTCTTTGTTATCTATTGTTGCTATAATAGAAATATCACAAGTGGATGGCTTTAACAAACAGAAATTTATTTTCTCACAGTTAGGAGGCTAGAAGACTGAAATCAGGGCACTGGCTCTAGGGGAAGTCTTTCTGTCCCTGTAGGCTCTGGGAGAAGATCTTTGTCTCTTCATCTTCTGTTCTTTGGCTCCTTAGTGATCTTCATGTGGCATAGCACCTATCTTCCCCCCAATTCTGCTTACTAAGTCTGCTCCTTTTATAACTCAAAAGAGATTGATTTAAAACACACCCTTCACTAATACTGCCTCATTAATATACCAAAGAAAAACCATTCCCAAAAGGGATTATAACCACAGGTATAGGGGTTAGGATTTACAGCACATATTTTTAGGGGATACAATTCAAATCATAACAATACCCTTGTTCTGTTAGAAAGACTGCCTCCTGGTCTATGTACAGGTTCCACACGAGCACAATTAAGTATTCTGGAATTCCCATTCTTTGCAATGTTATTCATAATTTGTTATGATCCACAGAGTCAAATGCCTTTGCATAATCAATAAAACACAATGACAACCTCATGGATAGTAGTGGAACATTGTCTGATATAGTGCTAGAAGATGAACCTCTCAGGTTGGAAGGCACTCATAATATAACTGGGGAAGAGCTACCTCCTCAAAGTAGAGTTAACTTTAATGACTGTGGATGGAGTAAAGCTTTTGGGACCTTCTTTTGCTGATAAGGCATGACTCAAAATGAGAAGAAACAGCCGTAAACATCCATTAGTAATCAGAACTTTTTGTTACAAATGTCAGTGGTATTTTACAAAGAAAATACTAAAGAAAGCAGAATTCTTCACCTTCAATGAAGACAAAATTAATTACCTTTTAAAGTTAAAATAATTGAAACATCATTCTCAACTCTTTCCCTGTAGCCACCATCTACAAAGCTCAAAATTCAACAACCAGTAACACTAAGTTATTAACCCTTCTGTCATTTATCAAGCAAGGACATATTTTGGTAACACTTCATTTCTTCATTCCAGTTGATATGCTTCCAAATGAATTTTCTTTCTTTCTTTCATCCTTCCCTCCCTCCCTCTCTCCCTCCCTTCCTTCCTCCCTCCCTCCCTCCTTTCTTATGTTTCCTTCTTCTCTCCTTCTCTTTTCCCACTAACAGTTCCTCTCTCTCTGCTTTTTGACCAGGGTAAATGTTCTGAAAGTTTAGTCTCAAAAACAAAAGCCAATTAATTATATGCTTAATTGTTATGCTGGTGTTCATGGTTCATAGTTGACCAAAATAGTAGCTCAAGCTGGTCTACCTGTGGAGCTTTTCTGTCACAATTTCTTGACCCAGCATTACTGTTCTTAATAGAGATTAATTTATGACATAAATTGAATATAACCAGATGAATGCAGAGCATTATCTAGCATATGACTTTTTAAGTCCTCAATTAAGTCTTCATAGAGACAGTTGAATTCTTAGACATTAACTTTTAATGAATAAACAGGACCAATTCTTAGTAAGATATCAGAAAGAAGTGAATAAAGGTAGCAGATGAAATTTTATTAGCCCTTCTTCAATCGTCAGAGCCTACTTAACAGTTTAGCCTAATTTTTTGTGTGTACTGGGAAAATTTTGGAATTTACAAAATGAAGATTTTAAAATAGTTTGCTGTAAATAAAGGGTTATTCCATGAAATTTTTGTGTAAAAAAATTTAGATTTTTAATCAAAGACTTAGTTTCCCTTTCCATGTTTGAATCATGTGTGATTTCATGTAAACCCACAAGAGATATTCAATTTGGTAGGTAATTGCTGATGTTGTTGGTATATTTACATCAATTTTAAAACATGGTCAGTCTGAGATCCCACAAGGTGGTTGACATGATTTCCTTAGTGTGAAGAGGGAGGTTCGAGACTATGTCTAAATGCCAAAATTTCTTATATAACATAATTTGTGCTAGAGTATAGCAGAGAACCCGGGACATTGGCATTACTTATTTCTCTCCAAGTTTAAAAATTAGAATAGAAACATGGCCCAGAAAAAATAATTTTAACACCATATAATTTATGGTTCAGGCATATCCTTAGACTTATGATTGTTATACTTTGTAAAGGCTGGCAGTAGCGGTAGCTATAGAATTTCCAAATCTGTTAACTAGAATAACCGATTTTTTAAATGTGGTTATTGTTTCACTTTGTTGATGAAAATGTCTTGAGGATTAAGTAGTTGGGTCCTTAGTACCATTTGCCTTCTATTAACAGAAGACATTCTAAAACGCTGTGATAAAGGATTAGTGGTTAGAAACAATATTTCTATTCATCTTAATAAAGTAGCACAGACAAGATAATTATTTAATGTTGAAAAATAGTTTCATGCTAGTGAGTTCAAGTACTCAAAACACTGTTCAAATATATCTTAAATCCTCAGTATAATACTTAGTCATGACATTATTATGAGAAATGAGATTATATACATAGAAAACTTTTCTGGCATATAGAAAATTCTCTAAAATTTTGCTTTTCCTCTTGTTGATATTGCTGTGATTGCTACTGTTATTTTTCATGTACACATTAAGTTACATAAAACCAGTTGCTATCGAGTTGATTCTGACTCATGGCAACCCCATGTGTGTCAGAATAGAACTGTGCTCCATAGAGTTTTCAATAGCTGATTTTTTGAAAGTAGAACACCAGGCTTTTCGTCTGAGGTGTCTCTTGGTGAACTCGAACCACCAACCTTTCAGTTAGCAGTCAAACATGTTAACTGTTTACACCACCCAGGGACTTGCAAAGTTACATAGAATTGTTAAAAATTTGTAAAACACTAACATGGTAGAAAATAAGAATACCCAGGAAGGAAAACATTGTTAGTTTGTTTTACAGTAGTTGCTTGTACCCTAGTTTTGATGCAATGAATATGATTAAAATTGTACTATTTTCTAAGAATTTATATCACATTTATATAGTTGCACTTTGATATATTATGAATTAAATATGCACAAATGACCAAAAATGTTTCTGTAAAAATATAGCATCCATCACAAATTCAGAAAGCAGAATGCCAATGAAGTTTCTGGGAAATCAAGAAGCAATATTAATTTTGAAGTGAAATGCTTAGGTTGAAATAGACCTTGATAGTGACATTTACAGTATCATTGTTCATCACCTTTGGACAATTTTTTATCAACATAATCTCTTTTTGCCTCTCTACAATCGTTACTTCTAGAAAAACTGATAAAAATGGTTCCTCAGTTAGATGCCATGGAAACGCATTGGTCTGGCTCTTGAGCTCACATCACAGCAGAGTGCTATGTAAGCAAACATGTACTATAGAGAATGTAAGTGCTTTGCTAAAAAATTAGTTTAAAGTTATAATAATTTC